CCATCCTCATCACGGAGATATCCTTACTAGTTGGCTATAATGATTTAATTGTTGATCCCCGCAATTTGGAGTGGATCATATAAGTTAATTGTTCTATCGTTGCTGACATCACACATATTTTGCAATAGCCTGCTGGGAGAAAGTTGAACGATGAAGGTGTTGCCAGTGGTGGTCTTCGTGAGTTACTACCATGCATTGCAAGAACAGCAGTTGTTGTTGGAATGGATGAAGTTTTCATGGAGGTACATGATGATCCTTCTAATGCACCAGTTGATGGTCCAACTCAATGGGTGAACTCTTCTGAATATCTTGTTGGGTTTACAACTACACCCAACTAGGTAGTACCACTACACGTGATTTGCAGGTGCAGGTGCGGGAGCAAGTGACATGGATCTCGCTCCGCTATCGTTGGATCCTCGTTGAGGATGAGGGGTGGTGTTTGAAGCGGACCTAGGGTGGCGAGCTCAGAGGGAAGCGAGGTGGCAGTTGGCACGGCCAGTATGTGTGTGTTCTGGGTTTGGCTTTGGATCTTGGGTTTTTGCAGATTCACGGCGGAGGTGAAAAAATGAAAGAGAACCGACATAGCTTTTCGTGTCGTTTCCCACATACGGCGCCAAATGTTGATGCACAAAACCGGAAGGTCTTGGGACAACGTAAATCTAGCCGTGAATCTGCAAGAAAGTAAAGAACACAATATGTATCGTGGTTCACCCAATGTTTGGGCTACGTTCACACTGATGTTGATATTGTTTCACTCTGAATGGCGAATATACAAGAAGGTTAGAGGCAGTGTGCTCTCTAGCCTATTTTCTATGTGCTCTCTTCCCATAGCTTAAGACTTGCCCTCCCCTAATGAGGAGAATGAGGTCTGAGGATTGTGAGGGTGAGGAGTCCCTTTTATAGACTAAGGGCTCCTCACTTATTACATATTTGCCCCTTCATTTATTACATAATTACACTTGAGTCCCCCGAGTATTTATACGAGGTCTAAATACGGAGGCCCTAAGTATGGTACAAACAATTTGCAAACCCCAGGTCTTAAATTTTGATTATTTTTCTTAGTTCAACGAGTCTGATAATCTGTATTTGCCATTGGGTATTTGGGTTTAATCCAAATGTAAATTAATTACCAAACCCAGTTCTTAAATTTTATGTTTTTAAAATTTTGCTGAAAATTTTAGTAAAAACTTTGAATTTGTAGTTCAATGAATCTGACACTCCGTTTATGCAATTGGGTTTAGTCCAAATGTAACTTTATTATCAAACCCAGTTCTTAAAAAATTCAATCTTTTCATTTATTTATTTTTGAGAATTTTACTAAAACTTTTCAATTTGCAGTTCAATGAGTTTGAATCTCTGTTTACTGTTTAGGAAATTAGGTTTAATCCTAATGCAACTTATTACCAATCCCAATTCTTAATTAAAAGTTATCTTTTTTGGGTGACAATTTAATGAAGGCCAGTGATTTCTGCACTCTTCTATGAGTTCGAAAAATTATAAAATGTTAATTTTTGAGGTGTAAACAGCTGGAAATGCAGTGCGAAAAACGCTACCCCTTTTCTTAAATGGGTTGCATTGTTAACATTCCTCTTATATATATATGATGATTAACCACGTAGTGAGATAATGGTTGCAGTGTTAATCTGCTATGTTGCCTCCTAGGCCGCTTAAGCGTTGAGCTTGAGGAGTTGAAGAGAAGAAGTGCGTGGAAGACATGAAATCTTGAAGGTTTATATGAGTTTATGATTTTAGTTAAGTGGAATATTTCTGTAAAATTTGAACTTTGTTATGTTTATTTTAGATGTGGAAGATTTGAAGTGTAATGTTTATTTTAAATTTGAACTTTTTGAAGACTTAAACTTTGATTTTTTTTTTTTAAGTTTGGACTTTGGAAGATTTGATTGATGATTCTAGTTGAACTTTTAAATATTTATTTTCATTGTGTAGGAATGCTTATGTTATGATTGTATTGGAGATGTTAAAATTTTAGATTTCAATTTTTATTCATTTTCACAAAAAAAAAAAAAAAAAAAAAAAAAACCAAACGGGAAAAAATCGAACCGAAAAAAAATTGAACCAAACCAAAATTTCGGTTCGGTTTCGATTTTGACAAAAAATCGAACTGTTTCAAACCGAACCCAACCCTAGTTGTATCAATTGGGACACACATCAATCAGATCACTAAGCAAGTGATGCAAGTTTAGCTGCCCCTTTACCCACCAATTGCTTATTATTTTCTATCCTAATCCAGTTGTCATGTCAATTTCATTGGATACACATAATCTCCCTTTCAGACTAATTAACACTTAGTGGGTTTTTACTCTGGGCTTCAGATATGGACCCAAGCATGAAACAAAGAAGGTGAATTGTCGGCCCTCTCATTTTTATACTCTACCAATGCCTTCCTGTGATGTGTGATTACGGTTAAATCACGTAAATATTTTATATTAATTTTTTATACAAATAATAAAAAAAAAGTAATAGGAATATAAAATATTGACATGACTTAACCGTGATCACACAAATAGGAGAGGATGGGGAAAGTATGGAAATAGGAGGGCATACAATCCACCCCTTGAAACAAAACCCTAGAGCAGGAGAATGATGTACTGATATACTATTATCAGGACATCTTATGTCAACAGTATAAATTATAAAGATGTGTGTAAAATAAATTTCTATTTGATGTTGTAATATTGATAGAAAATAACATAATAACAATATATCTATATCATGTAAGTTACTCTGCTTTATACTTTGCTTTTGTATTAAATTTAATGTGAAATAGTAAAAGATGTTCCCTTCCCCACCCCTCACACTCTCTATTTCATGTAAGTTGCTCTGTTTTATACTTTACTTTTGTATTAAATTTAATGTGAAATAGTAAAAGATGTTCCCCCCCCAAAAAAACAAAAACATTCATTTCTAGACGCATTATTAGTGGAGGGCCAGAATAATAATTTACTTTTTTATTTTTAGAAACTGGCTAGAATAAGAATTTATATTCCTCATCCCACATCTCAAAAAGTAATGAGAGTACAAAAAATCGAACCGATTCAAACCGAACCCAATGGTATCAATTGGGACACACCATCAATCAGATCACTAAGCAAGTGATGCAAGTTTAGCTGCCCCTTTACCCACCAATTGCTTATTATTTTCTATCCTAATCCAGTTGTCATGTCAATTTCATTGGATACACATAATCTCCCTTTCAGACTAATTAACACTTAGTGGGTTTTTACTCTGGGCTTCAGATATGGACCCAAGCATGAAACAAAGGAGGTGGATTGTCGGTCCTTTCATTTTTATACTCTACCAATGTCCTCCTGTGATGTGTGATCACGGTTAAATCATGTAAATATTTTATATTAATTTTGTATACAAATAATATAAAAAAAGTAATAGGAATATAAAATGTTGACATAGCTTAACCGTAATCACACAAATAGGAGGGGATGAGGAAAGTATGGAAATAGGAGGGCATACAATCCACCCCCTGAAACAAAACCCTAGAGCAGGAGAATGATGTACTGATATACTCTTATCAGGACATCTTATGTCAACAGTATAAATTATAAAGATGTGTGTAAAATAAATTTCTATTTGATGTTGTAATATTGATAGAAAATAATATAATAACAATATATCTGTTTCATGCAAGTTACTATGCTTTATACTTTGCTTTTGTATTAAATTTAATGTGAAATAGTAAAAGATGTTTCCCTCCCCACCCCTCACACTCTCTATTTCATAGTTGCCCTGTTTTATACTTTACTTTTGTATTAAATTTAATGTGAAATAGTAAAAGATGTCCCCCACCCCCAAAAAAAACAAAAACATTCAGTTCTAGACGCATTATTAGTGGAGGGCTAGAATAATAATTTACTTTTTTATTTTTAGAAACTGGCTAGAATAAGAATTTATATTCCTCATCCCACATCTCAAAAAGTAATGAGAGTACAAATTACTGTTGTCAATCATGTTCTTCAAGTACCACTCTCTTATGAAGGTAACAAATCGCATCATCTCTTCAAATTAAGATACTGTAATCCATTTCAATGCAGTATTCAAAATTTTAAAGAAATATTTTTTCTCACCATCTTCAAGTTGTGGTATTGTTTATTATATTTTTTTATCACTATTAGGTGAGCTTAAATTTTAAGATTTATGCAGTAAATGAACACAATTAAGTTTCACAATTTAAACTTATCAAATGATGATAAATAAAATGATAAACATTACTGCCACTTGATAATCGTGGACCAAAAATGCACCCAAACTTTAATGATTGCCCAACAAGCTCATTGGCCTAACATTAAAAATAAAAAAAACAAGCAGATTGGCCAAGAGAAGTTGATTACTTCAGACAGGTTTTATCTTGGTCAATAGTTTAGACTCGCAATCTAACAAATTTCAATATTTTACTAAAAAATATGACTATAAAATCATCATAATACATGTTCATAACTTGGGCCTCAAGAATCATTGGTTAATGTATTTTATAGTCCCATAAATTATGTTTGGATGAGAAAAATAAACTTGAAATTTTGGTAAAAATTAAAATTTATAAATTAACATGCACCAATTCCCTTATTTGGATTCATAAACATATAAATTTAGAATTTCCGCATGGAAAAAAAACTTGGAATTTGAGACCTTCAATTACCAAGTTCAAATTTCATGTAAATATGTGTCATTTCCCAATTTCTATGATTGAGAGTTTAAAAATAAAAAATTTCGTATTCAATTTCATTGTTTTTTTAGGTTAACAAACAAGAAAATTTACAAATTCTAAAAAATAAAATTTTGTCATTTCAATTTCCGTCATTTTGAAATTTCTAAGTAATCTTAAATTTCTTTACATCAGCACGATCCAACCTTGAAATGCACACAAGCAAAAAACAGGGCCAAATCACCAAATCCGTGCCACCATTAAGAAAGAAAAAGAAAACAAAACAGAGAGACAAACACTTTTCCCCTGCTATAAATACCATAACCCACCACCTACATTTTCATCAGCTCAAATTTCTTCACCTTCTTTTCATCCACTCAAATACCTCCCTAATTTCCAAAACACCAATTAAAAAAATATATATTCCAATTTAAAAATAAATATGAGAACCGTAATTGCCTTCTCTACTGCAATTCCGGTAACAGAATCTCCACTGGAATCATCGCTGCCGCCAACTCCAACACCAACAGCCATGGGGCAGCAGCAGCAGCAGCGCTCGCCGTGGCACTCTCCGGTTCCCTACCTAGTCGGAGGCCTGGCGGGGATGTTGGGTCTGGTTGCTTTTGCTCTGTTGATCCTTGCCTGCTCTTACAGGAAGCTTTCGAGCCGGTTGGAGGATAGAGAGGGAGGCGAGGGAGACTTAGAGAGCGGCGGCGGCGGCGATGAGAAGGGTGACGGGTCGAATAAATCAGTGAAGGTGTTCGAGGAGAAGATTTTGGTTATTATGGCAGGGAATGAGAACCCAACTTTCTTGGCCACGCCGGTTTCCGTGTGCTCGAAAGCGGCTTCTTTCGGCGTCGCTGACGATTATGCCGACGAACAGGGGATGAGCAAAGAAGTAAAAAAGGAGGAGAGCTCCGAGAAAGTGAAAGAAGAAATGGGGTCCCATGATCCCGAAGAACCCGAAAATATTCGAAACCAAGACGATGAAGCGGAGACTCAGCCGAGGCGATTACAAGAAGAACAAGTACAACATGAAAACCAGCGAGCTTAACTCAGGAGAATTTGGACGTCCTAGGCTAGCCTTCGAAATGGAGCCTAGAGTTCCCTAACTACCGATCATTTGTATATTGATATGTGTAAAAAAAATTCATTAAATACATGAAAAATCTATTTATACATCAAATATTATTAAAAATTAATATCAAAAGAAGAAATATATACAAACATTACTCAAATATTAGTATATTACCCGTCTCGCATTTTTAGATGCAAATGCACTTATTAAGTTTACATAATCTAATTTTTTAACAAATTCAAACCGAAAGAGAAGTCCCTATCCACTACGCCAAATTCCAATCATTTTTCTATTGGTACAATGTTACTTATTACATTCAATAAATGAATGAAATGTTGGATTACAGAGACAACATCTTACAACTAGGAAAAATACTAGAGTGAAGATGATAGTAATTTTCGTATGCCCACCTAGGCGGACGAAACAGATTTGAATAAATAATTATATAATATATAAACTAATTGATTTGAACATTTAATAGTGTCATTTTTCAAAAGGGTGAGAGTTTTAGCCCTTTAGGTACATAATAATGATATATGTAGTGTGATCTTAAAATAGGGTAATAAAACCCCATAAAAATAAACATAAAGCTAATACTTAAGAGAGAAGCAAAAAAGTAAAAATAAGATGGTGTGGACTATTTAAAGGGGAGAAGACGTGCATATATATATAAAAGATGGTGGGATCATTTTAAGTAAAATCGTGCAATGTGATGTTGGGAATAGAGTTGTCTTCTTCCTCGCGCGATACCGACCTTGCAACAAAAGATTTCCAAATTCCGGCTTTTACATATAAGCCCGCATAGTTCCCGCCCATCCTTGTCCAGACCCTCCTAAAAATTGGAAGCCCCTAGGCGGACGCCTATTCCGACTACCCTTAGGGCCGGCTCTGAGCTTAACTCAGCTTGCTCTTTTTCAGTTTTGGCATATATTTCTTGAGAGAGGAAAAAAAGCAGAGTGCTCTGTTATTTTTCTGGTGGGGTTTGGGGGATTTCTATGTTTTGATCCGGAAAATGCAAATTTTGTATGAGATTTATTAGTTTTGATGAGATTTGACATTAAAGCAGAATTAATTAGTTGCAGTTGATGTTAGAGATTTTTGTTCTTATCTTTCCAGCTTAATTGTTAATTAGAGCCGTATTGCACTAATTAAGAAGGATAATTTATCTTTCTTTGCCTTCCTCCCCACGCATTTTTTCTAAACGTAGGAAAAGCTTGGGCTTGGAGCACAAGAAATTCCAACGATGCTGCGTTCCATCTTGAAGGAGGTCTCGCGGTCAAATATCATAAACGACAAAACACAATAAAGCATTTTCCCATCAGGAGGGGTCAGTTGAAGTCCGACTAGGATTTTTTTGTTGTTGTTTTATTCACACATGTTGAATGCACTCTATATACTTAATGTACCTCATATTTGCTTTTCTAATTAAAATTTATTTTAATGTACTCTACGTATTTTCCCGTAATATCCTAAAACCGCGTAAAGTTGAAACCAAATGTTGATAGACCAACTAATTATTATCAGTAGTGGAGTTAGGATTTTGAGTGAGAATGGGCCTTTCACTTTATGTGTGTAAAAAAATTGAGCTCATAACATGTTAACATATGCAATTTGAGTAATCTTCACCAAACTGAAGGACCTCTCTTAAATTTAAGAGTAATGCTAGGGAGAACAAATTTTTAAACCAAATGATGTGTCACCGATAAAAAACAAACACATTAATCGACACTTGACCATGTTATGGTGTAAAAAAATGAGCCTCCCTAGCATTACCCTAAATTTAATAGTGAGAAGAAAAAAATGTACAAACCCGGACAACCAAGTAAGAGGTAGGCTATGGAAGAAGTAGAAAAAGAAGGATAATGGAAGAGGTTTGCAAATAAAGAAGGTGTGTTGCTTTAGAAAATTATAGGGTGTGCATTATTGTTAGTTGAGAGAATGGAACTAGTAGTGGGTTGCTTTTTTTACTCAAAAATGCATCTCTTTTAAAAACTTACTGACCAAACACATCGTTTCATTAAACAGTCAAACAGATTTTGAATAAAAACAAGCTAACGACGTCGTCTACCTCATCTTCTTCCTTGAGGTTCACACCTTAGCAAATAAAAGTTTGGGGTCGCTGGTTGATTTCATACACCTTTCAGAAGTTAATACGAACCTGGGACTACCTTGGTCCTTTGGTGGCTCCACCCCTGATTATTATCAATGAATAAAGCTCAATTCAAAAGCTTACTCATGTGATATTGGGGTTCGGCTATAATGATACGTACTACTCACTGTTAAGCGTTTTATGCAAGATTTAATCGTATGAAAAATTCATTAGATCTCTATATGCAAGATCTAATTGTTAATCTTCCGGATCATTCAGTGGTACATACTACAAAAGAAAAAGTGGTGATATTGAGAGTATGCATAAATAAATAGAAAACCCTTTTTAGGCTTTGCTGCAACAAGACACAGATTAAACTAATGGATTATCGTTCCAAATTTTCCAATTAAGAGTTGCTTAATCCGTAATATCATGCTAATGTATAATTGTTGCACGCGATATTAAACTAAATTTCAAAAATATGTTATTTTTGTTTTTTCTTTTATGAGAGGAATCGCACCTCATTGATGGAAAGAATAAAAGGAAAACTAATAAAAATGGTTTGAAAACTTTGAGTTTTAACTATAAGGACAAAACAAAATGGTAAAGTGAATAGTAATATGTTTGACTTTTTAGTGTAAAAATGTGATTTTTCGTTAAAGTGAACAATATCGTGAACTTTTCGTTAAAACTTCCAAGATTAAAACATACAAATCCGGGGCCACGTTGAAGAGGGGCTCAGAAAAAGCCTTTTCCAGGAAAAATCACATGGAGAACGTCCATGGAAGGGGAAAAAACGTGTTCCATCTTACCGTACAAGTATGATCAGATCATGTACATTAATTTTGTTTGAAAGTGCTTTTAAAATAATTGAAAGTGCTTCTGGTGAAATATTTTTGAAACCAATCATTAATAAAAATGCAAATGAATTCTGCAATAAGCATTGAAGCACGTCAAGTACTTTTAGAACAAAAAAAAATTTATTTAAAAGTGTTACCGTTATTTTATAAACACTTACAAATGAGTCAAATTTTGTTCTAATCGTTCACGTCACGGTATATAAATTAGCCCAATCACACAAATTTATGTTACCACAAAGGAAAGAGAGCTTAATATAGCATTTGCTCTCAAAGACAGCTGAAGCGCCGGTGTTTCTTCCCTCTGCTGATATTGCTCATCTTGCTCTTCTCTAATGGTATATTAACATCTAATCTTTTCTTAATATCGGTTTCTTTCTCTACTTTTTGCATTTCCTAAATTGTTTCGTCATCAGGTGCACTTCAAGGAGAGGAACGAAACTGCTCGAATGCTCTGATCCCTGTTTAAAAATGCTCGAAATATAAGGGCATGTTTGGTACCTTATCTAAAAACTTTGATTGTTCCTAAAAATAATTTTCAAATAACATCACTTGAAAATAGATTTCTTTCAAGCTTCAAATTTTCAAAAATCTGTTTGGTTGAATTTTTAAAAATAATTTTTTTAGTTTGAATTCAAACTTCCTTGAACAAAAATTCGAGGAGAGAAAGAATTGGGAAGGAGAAAGGAGAGAGGAAATAGTCGGTGAGGAGAGAGAAAGACAGGGAGAGGATGAGGAGGATAGGGAGAGAGCAAAAAATTACGGAAAGAATGTGATGAGTGAGAAGAAAGAGAGACAAGACAAAAGGCTGAAGAGAGAGAAGATAAGGTGTGACATGGGGAGAGGAGAAAAAGAGAGGGTTAGGAAGGAGCAAAAGAAGATGTTGAGGAGAGAGCATGAAAACTCTAAAAACTCACTTTTAGTGTTTTTAAGAAATAGCCTATGTTTTTAAGTTAGTTTTGAATCCAATTTTTAAAAAGAGTCCTACCAAACAAGAATTCAAAGCCTAAAACTCAAAAAGTGTGTTTGAGTTAAAAAAAGTTGAACTCAAGTAGGATAACAAACAAGCCCTAAATGTGTCATAGCATGCATCGACCACTATAATCAAAGCTTCATCAATGGTGGTTGCATGGATTGCCATACATGTTGCCGCACAGATTTAGAATAGGGTACTCGAGCTCCTGTGGCCGATTCTCCCTCTTATAGTATCGCTAATGTCCGAAGAATAATAACAACAGTTGACAATAATATTTGGCTTTGTAGCCTAATTTGATTGTTGTAACAAATCCAACAATTGTTTTGCAATAGCCACTTATCCACCAAGGCAATCCACCACTTGCTAACAAATGCAACAATTAAATTCCGCTAGTAAACGCTATCATCACTTCTTACCAGAAACTTCATCCGGGGTTTTGGTAGTCATCTGATCAACTGCATGAACTGTGTTCTGAAGCTCCTCCCATATGGCTTTGTACACCATCCTCTGCCTATTTACAGCCGACTGTCCCTCAAATGACGAGGAGACGACATCAATGACCACATGCCGGCCATCCCCGTTCATATCTTCTACACTAACGGATTCCGCATTTAGCTCCTCCTTGATCTTTTTCTTCATGGATTCTATTAGTGGGGAGTCAATGGAGCCAGCATTTCCGACGCTTGAAGCTCGAGGACTGAATCTCCTCACACCACCGTATTCCAATCTCATAAGGCTCCTGTTTTCATTGCCAATTGCTCTATGGTGCAACAATCTGATGCCCCGGCTCTTAAATACCAACAGTGTTTTCCTTGGTTGAGAAAGTAAGGATGGCAGAGCTCGAGTAAAGGCGCAGGAGGCTGATAACACATACGGACGCACCATGATTGAGTTGGCCGCCATTGTTCCCTGTCTACACCTCTACTTGAAACCCTAATAACTCTAAGCTACGTAAGGTCGCACTCTAATGCAAGAATTGAGCACCTGCACGAATATGATGGTACGAATTAAAATTGGAAAGAATAAGTTTTGCTAAGCCCGTTTTATTTGAACATTACTCCCTGCAAGTTCAAATAACAGTCAATATTAAGCCATATTGGGACTGCTTCTGAAAGCGCTTCTAACTGCCTTTGGCAGAAAAACATAAAAGCGCTTTTACCCATAATCTCTTTTTGAAGAAACTCAACATATTTATCATACAAGCTCTTCTAGCATAGGCGCTTATGAGCAGGCTTCCTACAAAAGCATTCCCAAACAAGCGCCTAAGAATCTGTTTGGAACTGCGTCTAGACAATCGACTAAAGGCGCTTCTAGTAACATTTGGCAGAAGTGCTTTCATGAGAAGCATTTCCAAACTGGCCTTAAACTAAAGGGTCCAAATTTTATCACTAGCAGTACCAAATGAAATAATCATTTCCCATTGTTGCAGAATCCTTCAACTAAATTCACATTAATCTTCAAAACCCACACTATCAAATCTAGTGATTACCCCCTAATTACTATACTAAATTAAATCTTGACTAACCCGTCAAAAGCAATCCACTACAGAAGCCGTAAAACAGTAAAAACAGAAGAAAAACCAGCACCGAGGTTAAAAAATAAATATGTAAACTTGCAACCAGAAGTATAGCAGCCTATATATTCATAAATTGTGGGAAAAATGATGAAAAAATTAGGAGCAAGGGAAGAGGAAGTGCACTTACCTCGCGGTTTGTACGTGTTGCGATGCGAGAGAGCGGCTGAGCAAACAAGAGGAACGGAAGAGGGGAAATCGGCACGTTAGGGATTTTCAGGGGTAATTCTGTAAATATGAAACAGAATAATGGAATATTACTAGTAATTTGATCTGAGCTGTTTAATTTTCTTTCGGTACAATCCAACGCTACTTTCAAAAACCACGTCAGCTAAAACATACGCTTCCACGGATTTGCTGCTTCTTCGCGCCTCGCATCGTCTCTCCGCTTCATCTGCAGCTCCATTTGCCCCCTGGAGTTTGAACTTCAACCAGTAGAAGAAGTAATTGAATACAGTAGCGGATCCAGGATTTTAAACTCAGAGGTCTCAATAATAAAGGTCAAAAAATTTATAGACAAAAACAACATTGAAAATTTAAATATAATACATTTGATTAAAAAATCATATACAAAACAATATTACAAATTATAAAATCATAATTCAAGCGTCCATTATGAGGAGTACCTAAGTTATTGATTATCTAATATGAACCACTAAATTTAAAACACCGGTCAAATAAAACTCTCTTCGAGCTCCCACTATCTTTCTAACCAAACACACAATTTTTCTCTTTTACTAGTTTTCAAACATAACTCCGCCGTGTAAGTTTATCTTACATTGCCGGTCCCAAGCCCGGATAAAGGAGGAGGGGGAGGGCGTCAGGTAGTCGATAGCCGGCACTCCATGATCACGTCGAATCTTTATGAAAATGAATCCAGAACGAAATCGCGTTAAAGCTAGGGCGTCACCCGTAAGTGGCGCGCTGTGTGGCCCGAGCACAGTGATAAGTGAGCAAGGGTCGCTGTATCTCCATCGGCACCCGGATGCAGTGTTAAATGAGCAAGGGGGCTATAGAAACTTCTTTTCGAACGACTCCACTCAAAGTTGTTTGGGAGCATATGCTCCTATCAACTTTACACGGGACACACAAAAGAAGTACTTTGATCCTATTAAACGGGGAAGGGTGAAGAAGCTAGGACAGAAGGGTAGAGTTCAAGAGAGCAAAATGCGTTTAGGAACGTGGAATATAGGAACCTTGACGGGAAAATCTATGGAAGTAGTAGAAGTTATGGTGAGGAGAAGGATAAATATTATGTGCCTACAAGAAACTAAGTGGGTTGGTCGTAAGGCAAAGGATCTAGAAAACTCAGGGTTTAAACTATGGTATTCGGGCACAAATAGAACGAGAAACGGTGTTGGCATCATCGTGGACAAGACCTTGACACAAGATGTTGTAGATGTCAAGAGGGTAGGAGATAGAATCATGGCAATCAAGATTGTAATAGGACAAGAACTTATCAATGTGATTAGTGCATACGCACCTCAAGTAGGGTTGGATACGAGTTCGAAGGAGAAATTTTGGGAAGACCTTGGAGACTTGGTGCAAGGAATTGCTCAGATGGAGAAGTTATTTATAGGAGGAGATTTAAATGGACACGTGGGCAGGGAGACAGGCAACTATGGAGGTTTTCATGGTGGCCATGGTTTTGGGGAGAGAAACGAGGATGGGGAAGCTATCTTGGATTTTGCAATGGCATATGATCTCTTCTTAGCCAATACCTTCTTTAAGAAGAGAGAAGAACATGTGATCACCTACAAGAGTGGGTCGTCAAAAACACAAATAGATTTTCTTCTAATGAGGAAAGGGGATCGTATAACTTGTAAGGATTGCAAAGTTATACCAGGAGAGAGCGTGGCTAATCAACATCGCTTGTTGGTGATGGATGTACATATCAAAAGAGTGAGAAAAAAGAACAAGACTTGGAAGTGCCCAAGGACTAGATGGTGGAATCTAAAAGAAGAAAAACAAGCCATTTTCAAAGAGAAAAGTAATCACCCAGTGTGTGTGGGATAGAGAGGGGGAAGCTAACCAAATGTGGGATTCCATGGCTAGTTGTATCCGAAAAGTAGCAAAAGAGGTATTAGGAGAGTCCAAGGGCTTTGCCCCACACCAAAAGGAATCTTGGTGGTGGAATGAGGAGGTACAAACAAAGGTGAAGGCTAAGAAGGAATGTTGTAAAGCCTTATACAAGGATAGGACCGATGAAAATGGTAAAAGGTATAGAAAAGCGAAGCAAGAGGCGAAGAAAGCTGTGAGAGAAGCTAAGTTAGCGGCTTATGACGATATGTATAAGCGACTAGATACCAAAGAAGGAGAGTTGGATATCTATAAACTAGCTAGAGCAAGGGAAAAGAAGACAAGGGACCTAAACCAAGTGAGGTGCATCAAGGATGAGGATGGAAAGGTTTCTTGCTACAGAGAACGCGGTTAAAGACAGATGGAAATGTTATTTTTATAATCTTTTCAATGAAGGACATGAAAGGAGTGCTTCTTTAGGGGAGTTGAGTAACTCAGAAGAGTGTAGAAACTACTCTTTTTATCGTAGAATTCGGAAGGAAGAAGTGGTTGTAGCTTTGAAGAAGATGAAGCATAGAAAAGCAGTAGGCCCAGACGATATACCAACCAATCGAAGTGTGGAAAGTTTTGGAAGAGACAGGTATAACATGGCTCACTGACCTTTTCAATAGGATTCTGAAAAACGAAGAAGATGCCAAATGAGTGGCGAACGAGCACTTTGGTGCCTATCTACAAGAATAAGGGCGATGTACAAAATTGCATGAACTATAGGGGTATTAAGCTAATGAGTCATACAATGAAGCTCTGGGAGAGAGTCATTGAGCATAGATTGAGGCAAGAGACACGGGTTTCGGACAACCAATTCGGGTTCATGCCAGGGCGCTCAACCATGGAGGCAATCTATCTCTTACAAAGATTGATGGAAAGATATAGAGATGGGAAAAAGGATTTACACATGGTCTTTATAGATTTTGGAAAAAGCGTATGATAGGGTCCCAAGAGACATTCTTTGGAGGATTTTTAGAAGAAAAGGAGTACGAGTAGCATATATCCAAGCTATACAGGATATGTATGAAGGAGCAAAGACTGCCGTAAGAACTCATGAAGGACAAACCGAAAGCTTTCCCATAACTGTAGGATTACATCAAGGTTCATCCTTAAGTCCTTACCTTTTTGCGTTAGTAATGGATGAGTTAACAGGACATATTCAAGATGATATTCCTTGGTGTATGCTTTTCGCAGACGATATAGTGTTGATAGATGAAACTCAGGAAGGGGTAAATGCAAAGCTTAACCTTTGGAGAGAAGTGTTGGAATCTAAAGGTCTTCGCCTAAGCCGATCAAAGACAGAATATATGGAGTGCAAGTTCAGTGCAAATGGAGGCCAAAACGAGTTAGGGGTGAGGATCGGAGATCAAGAAATAACAAAGAGCGACCGTTTTTTCGTTACCTAGGATCTATCTTGCAAAAGAACGGAGAATTAGATGGAGATCTCAACCATAGAATACAAGCTGGATGGATGAAGTGGAAGAGTGCATCAGGCGTGTTGTGTGACCGCCGTATGCCACTAAAGCTCAAGGGAAAATTCTATAGGACGGCAATATGGCCGGCGATGCTGTATGGCACAGAATGTGGCAAATGTTGGGCGTGAAGCATCAACACGTACACAAAATGGGTGTAGCGGAGATGAGGATGCTTCGTTGGATGTGTGGGCACACGAGAAAGGATAAGATTAGGAATGAGGATATCCGGGGTAAAGTAGGAGTAGCCGAAATTGAAGGAAAGATGAGAGAAAATCGGTTACGGTGGTTTGGACATGTGCAAAGAAGGCCTACTGACGCTCCGATTAGAAGATGCGACTATGGGACAGAGGTTCAGGGCCGAAAGGGTAGAGGAAGACCTAGGAAAACTTTGGAAGAGACCCTAATAAAAGACTTAGAGTACTTGGATCTAACGGAGGACATGACACAGGACAGAACACAATGGCGTTCTAAGATTCATATAGCCGATCCCACTCAGTGACTTGGATTTTCCAAGTCTCCAACCGAGAAGTTTTCCTCACTCGGGAAATTAAGGGAACACTACCTCAACCTACATGCTCCACTCACAAAGCTTCAACAAAAGAAAATTCAAAGAACTTAGCGAAGAAGGCTTTGGTGTATTTAACACAATACGTTGAAATGAAGGAAAGCTTATTTATTGATATCCCCGATAAGTTACAAATATGTACATATACTTGAGTCAAAATAAACAAACAAGAGGGAGCCTTCACAAATGTTGCTTAGGAGAAGTCTCAGCAGTCGGTAGAGCCCCAGAAAGAGAAGGCACCGGAGGGGGATCATTCGGAGCCTCAGTACTGGACAGAACCCTAGAAGGAGGAGGCATCAGAGGTTGATCATTTGGAGCTTCATTAAGCGGTACAGCCCCAGAAGACGAAGGCTATAAATGCCTTTGGAACAAACCCACAAATCTCTGATGATCAAGTAAAACCTGACCATCAGATTCCTTCATCTGGTCAAGCTTCCTCTTCATGTTTGTAGCATAGTCATGTGCGAGCCGGTGCAACTGTTTATTCTCATGCTTGAGCCCTCTAATCTCCTGTTTGAGACTCATCACTTCAGCCGCCAATGATTCAACTTGGCGGGTTCGAGCAAATAGGCGTTTGGCCATATTAGACACAGAACCTGCACACTGAACACTGAGAGCCAGAGAATCCTTAACAGCCAACTCATCAGACCGTTTGGAAAGTAGTCTGTTATCTTTGGGAGTGAGAAGGTTCCTGGCCACTACCGCAGCGGTCATATCATTCTTCATCACGGAATCCCCAATGGTAAGAGGACCAGTAGGGGAGACGAAGGATGGGCGCCATATGTTGTCTGGAGAAGGCGAGGCTGCCTCTTCAACCAGGTTCAAGTCAAAACGACGGTCGGAGGGGCCAGACATTTTCAAAGGTCTTGAAGAGAGAAGAGGTCGGACAAATCAAGATCTTAGAAGTGCAAGAATGGAGCTTCTACTGGTGGATATTCAAGTGTGCTTTGGAACTTAATGCCAGCCCCTATAAAAATCTGCACTCGACGAAGCTTCAGAAATCGAAGAGGTGCCTGCTCAGAAATCGAAAAGGCGTTTGCTTTCTCAAAAGCTGGGCTGCTCAGAGACCACGAGGGTCGATCTCAGAAATAGAAGAGGCTTGCTTTCTCAAAAGCTGGGCTGCTCAGAGACCACGAGGGCCAATCTCAGAAATCAAATAGGCACTTACTTTTCCAGCCTTGTCAGCACCTGTCACACGCACACTCAGCTTTGCGGAAATTATGGGCATTCTGTCGAAGATTTCTGGCGAAGTAGAAAGC